TTTTGCTTATGTGGTGCTGAGGAATCGAACCCAGGGCCTCAGGCATGCAAGGCAAGCGCTCTACCACTGAGCCACCTTCCCAGCCCCTTGTTTTTTCTTAGAAAGACCTTTCTTCCATTTTTTTTTTGACTGTACAAACAAGGAGAATAGCAGGAACCAAGAGCAACTGTTAAAGTTGCTTTGAGTGTTATTGATCATGGACTTATTTTTATTTATTGTTTCAGAGGACATTTCTTATCTGTGATTGATGTATATTTTTTTAAAAGCTTACCACTGTTTTCAATAAGTGTTCTGTTACAATAGGCCACTCAGTAACAAGAGCTAGAAAAAAAATGATATCAGAGCTCTTACTCTTTTTGTTGAATAAAACTGATTTTTTTTTTAAACTTGGGGGCTCACACTTGCTTGGCTGGCTTGCTCAACTGCTGCTCTACTGCTTGCACTATGCCTCCAGCCTTGCTGTTATTTTGGAGATGAAGTCTCACAGATTTTTTCTTCCCAGGCTGGATTTGAACCTTGATCTTCCAGGTCTCAGCTTCCTCAGTAACTAGGATTACAGGCATGAGCCACTGTCACCTGGCGTCATTATTTTTAATTACTGAGATCAATAACTGCAGCTTGTTAGTGTGTATTATCCCACTAGAATCAAATTCTGCCTGAACTAGAATATAGTTATGAGTGTGTTAGCTACTGCCTTGTACAACCACAAATGTCTTCAGATAGCTTAGTAGTTGGTAGGCATTTCACCAATTTACTTTTCCCTCAAGTCTTTACAACCTACTCTTTTTACCTAGTAAATATACACCAAAAGGTGAGGAATTATGGTCTTCCTTACTATAGAAGAACCAACTTAAGTAATCTGAACATGTCCTTGCCTATTTTTTTCCAATTCCACTTGCAGTTTGATGATACAAGTGAGATATCATGCTTTCATAAGTAAATCCCTTCCTCACTCCTCCTTGCTAACATGTTTATCGCAGATTTTAGTCTGACCTTGTATATTACTTGTGAAGTTGAGGAACACATTTAAGAACATACTGAGTAGTCCATTTACAGTTCCTAGCATCACTTCAAACTTAGCTACATGTTCTCTTAAAATTGTCTCTTTGTTCTAATATCTTCAATGTATATGTTTCACTTATTTATGATCATAGACTTATTACCATGGACTCATTCTGACTTTTCCTCTTCTACTCTACCTGTGTTCAACCTACTTCCTTTGGACCAGAGTATTAAAAGTAGCTCTGTATATTGCCTCACATTTTCACCCATGTTCATCCTCTTACCTTCAACCATCCAAGTACCTGGGATTACAGTGAGCCACTATACCCAACCCTCTTCCAATTTCTTCATTCTTCTCTATTTCTGCCTTCTTTTATATACAACTTTTTATATACAATTACATCTTTATGTAAATTTTAGTCTTTCTAACCACAAAATGTTTTTAGAGGACAGGATTCTGATTTTTTTACCTGTAAGTCTAATGTAGTGGTTTTGTTGTTGTTGTTGTTGTTGTCAGTCTGGGGTCTGAACTCTGGGCCTGGGTGCTATTCCTCAGAGCTTCAGCTCAAAGCTAGTGCTCTGCCATGAGCCACAGCGCCACTTCCGGCCTTTTCTGCTTATGTGGTGCTGAGGAGTCGAACCCAGGGCCTCATGCATGCAGGACAAGCCTTCCCAGCCCTAGTGTAGCTTTTTTTTTAGTATAAAATTATTATATGCTTGACTTATTGCTATAACATTTATACATAACTTTCTATAAGATAATCTGTTTATTGAAAATGGTTTTAAAAGGTAACATGTTTTCTCTTTTTCAGAGTTAAAAATTCACCACTTAAACAGTCTCCAGGCTATCAGACAGAACTAGTTATTCAGTTGGTATGGGTGGGTGGAGAACCACCACAACAAATCACCAGTCTGGCAGTCAATTCTTCCTATGGACTGTAAGTATTAGGTGTTCTTCTCGATCTCTGTAATAGTCCATCCGCTATCTATGACTTAAAATTCAAATTAAATTTAACACTTTGGAGCATAACATTTAGAACATAATTTCTGAATAATTTATTATGGGTATATCTATACTGCTTCCTGATAAAATATCTCACAGACTCATAAAGTGTTTATTAATAACTAAATGAAGTATTTGAAATAAACTTTTAACATCAATATATCCTCTCTGGGATATCTGCCCAGAAAAAAAGGTCATGAAAGTCTTGACAGCATGGACCTGGAAAACAGTGTTACAAAATGATTCTGTAAATAACTGATCTGTAACTATGTCATTTGTTCAACTTGTAGAAAGTACAAAGACAGCAGTCATACACCAAAGTATTCTTTTATACAATAACTTTATTTGCTTTAAGTAGTAATGTTTGCCTTCAAGTATGTAATACATGATTTTTGTTACTTACATAAGGCTTTTCTTGTGTTTTCTTACTCCAGAAATAAAGACTGCAGTCTTCAGTACTACATACACAATATTTCTTCCCAGCACTGGTTATCAAGTGCTGGTTCCAATTCTCCTGGGTGTAACCTAAGAGACTCTGTCTTTTTCTTTTCCTGTTTTTTTTTTTTTATTGTGAAAATACCACACAGAGGAGTTACAATTACATGGGCAAGATAATGAGTACATTTCTTATCAAACATTGTTGCCTCCTCCTTTGTTTCCGCTTCCTATCCCTGCCCATCTCCCCCCCCCACCTCCCCCACCCGCCAAAGGTGTAAAGTTCGTTTTTCGACATAACAATTTGTACATCTCATTGTTGCAGTGGGTCCACCTGTATCCCTATTTAAACAATTTGTTTTTTTCCCTTCCCCTCCACAAATTATACCAACATCAAATATAGGGAAAGCAGGGGTTATTCCGTGGGGGGAATAACATACAAAGCAACAAAGAAATCATCTTATAAATATGTTAGAAACCATCGCATGAAAGAAAAAACATTTGAATACTTATCTTGGGGTTCATTTCACCTAACATCAACTTATCTGACCTTTTCTGCTTGTCTCAGACATATATTAGTTATTGCAAATAAGGGAAACCATGGGGCCTATGTTTCTTTGGGCCTGGCTTACTTCACTTAATATAATTTTTTCCAAGTCTTAGGAAACAAATGGGGCAATATCATTCTTTCTGATGGAGGCATAGAATTCCATTGTGTATATATACCACATTCCTTAAAAGACTCCACATAGAGCTCCCCTATAACCCAGCAATCCCAATTTTGGGCATTTACCCAAATGATCACAAACAAGATCATACTAAAGCTACCAGCACAACTATGTTTATTGCAGCATTATTTACCATAGCTAAGATATGGAACCAACCCAGATGCCCCTCGGTAGATAAATGGATCTGTCTTTTTCTTGATAGCTGTCTCTACCTGATCTCTCTCCTGCAGTTCATGCAGTAGAGACTGTTACAGTCTGAGATTATCTATTCTGATGTCTTTTATCTGCTGCTTTATAATGTAAAATCATATGACTGTGTCTTTAAATTTTTATTTCCCCCAAACAATAAAGAAAACAGAATAGTAGAAAATTTCAAAATGAAGCCAGGCACTGGTGCTCACACCTGTAATCCAAGTTACTCAGGAGGCTAAGATCTGAAGATCATGGTTGGAAGCCAGCCTGGGAAGAAAAGTCCCTTTGAGACTCCCTTCTCCAACTACTCACTTAAAAACTAGAAGTGGAGCTGTGGCTCAAAGTGGTAGAGTGCTAGCCTTGAGTAAAATTGCTCAGTACCCAAACCCACCTTGAGTTCAAGCCCCACAAAATGAAATTGATGGTCAATTGATTTCAGAACTCATTGGCTAAGAGTTGTTCTTTGTTTGCTTTCCATGCATTTTTAAAATTTAAATTCATTGTCAGTGTTACATAATCAGAATTGAAGGTTTTGCTGTTTAGATACTCATATAGTTTTCAAGTCATTCAAACAATTTTGCCTCTTTTACTACTCATAATACTCCTTTGTATGTATTAGCTTTCAACTTCTGTCTTAAGAGATCTTGAAAAAATAATCTTTACTTACAGTAAATTAATCTGTCATTGCTGACCCATAATTGAGAAGGTATTTTGAATACTCCAGATGATGTTTTCCAAGACTTACACTTTTTTATTCCTGACAACCTGACAATCGGCATTATAAAACTTCCTCCACTGTATAATTCCTTATTTTCTTACTTAGAGGGGGCTGTCTTCCTCTAAGGTGCTCAAGGCACAAGAATATATACTTCATTGCTTTCTGTAGGAGATTCATACCTTTAATCAAGTTTCAACTTATGTGTTAATTTATGTGGTAATAACTATTTATTAATGTTAGATATTTAATGTATACAGAAGATTTAAATAGCTTCATGAGAGACAGATGTAATCTCCATTTCCCTGTCTGTCTTTAGTTTTCAAAGATTTTTCTGAAAGACTTGTCATGCTTCTTTCTTTAACCATAAGGACTATGTTACATTCTCTTAGGTCATTTGTGGTAAATGTTTTACTTTTTTCTATTTTCAGTGTGGTTTTTGGCAACTGCAATGGTATTGCTATGGTTGACTACCTACAGAAAACAGTCTTACTCAACCTGGGGACTATCGAGTTATATGGCTCAAATGATCCTTACCGCAGAGAACCTCGGTCTCCTCGTAAATCTCGACAACCTTCTGGAGGTAAAATCAGAAAACAGCAGAGCATTAGAATTTCTATAAATGCTGACTTACTTTTGTAAATACAAATGATTCCATTAGATAAGTAGCTTATCTTATTTTAAATATAAACAGTCAAACATTATCAACAGATGCAAATCTTATTTTTGTTTTGTAATTTTGTTTTTGCTTCTGTTTTAATGTTCCAGGATTTTATTTAATGTCAACAAAGAATTATAGTGTCAGATTCTTCAGCCAACTTATAATGGCAGGAATACTTGTCTCAATATTATACAACATTGGGGCTGGGAAGGTGGCTCAGTGGTAGAGCGCTTGCCTTGCATACCTGAGGCCCTGGGTTCAATTCCCCAGCACCACATAAGAACAAAGAAAAAAGCCGAAGTGGCGCTGCAGCTCAAGTGGTAGAGCGCTAGCTTTGAGCTGAAGAGCTGAGGGACAGTGCCCAGGCCCAAAGTTCAGGCCCCACAACCGGACCAAAAAATATATATATATATTATACAACATTTAATT